TTTCCCCCCAACCCCTGGTAACCACCATTCTGCTTTCTCCCACTATGAGTTCAACTTCTCAACTTTTATTTATTTATTTATTTTTTAGATTTCACAAAGAAGTGAGATCATGCAGTATTTGTCTTTCTGTGCCTAGCTTATTTCACTGAGCACAATGTCCTCCAGGTTCATCCACATTGTTGCTAATGGAAGAATTTCCTTCTTAAGGCTGAATAATACAGCATTATACACAACACACACACCCCACATTTTCTTTATCCATTCATCTTTTGACACTCAGCTTTCTTCCATATCTTGGCTGTTGTGAAAATGCTGAAATAAACATGGGAGTGCAGATCTCTCTTTGAGATAGTGATTTCATTTACTTAGGCTACTGTAATTTATATTTTGTCCCATTTCCTGGCACAGAGCTTTCAAAACTCTTATGGAATCTCAAGTGACGTGTCTTTTGTATTTTATTATTATTGAAACATAATTGATCGTACATATATTGTGGGGTATTGCATTGAATATCAATACCTGTGTGCAATGTGATGCTCAAATCAAGATAATTAGTGTATTCAGCATTACAGAATGTAATCATTTTGTGTGGCCCTTTACAAAGTTTTTGCCAACCCTCCAACCCCTCACGCTTTCCCACCTCTGGTGGCCTCAGTTCTGCTCTCTCCTTTTGAAAGTTCAATGTATTGTTGTGACTGTTGTATCTTTTCTTTATTTGTTTACTTTTTCTAGCTCCTACTTATGAGTGAGAACATGCAGTATTTCTCTTTCTCTGCCTGGCTTATTTCACTTAACATAATTTTTTCTAAGTTCATCCATGTTGTTGCAAGTGGAAGAATTTCATTTTTTTTTATAGCAGAGTAGCATTTCATTGGGTATACATATCACATTTCCCTTATCCAGGTCATCCGCCGATGGACATTTATTTAGGTTGGTTCCAACTCTTGGCTACCGTAAATATAGCTGCGATAAACATGGGAGTGCAGGCATCCCTTCAACATGATGATTTCCATTCCTTTGGGGATGTAACCAGCAGTGAGATTGCTGGATCATGTGGCAGTTCTGTCTGTAGTTGTTTGAGGAAACTTCAGACTGTTTTCCATAATGACTGCACTAATTTACAGTCCCACCAACAATGTAGAAAGATTCCCCTTTCTCTGCATCCTCGCCAGCATTTGTTATTCTGTCTTTTTGATAATAGCCAGTCTAACTGGGGTGAGATGATATCTCAGTGTGGTTTTAATTTGCATTTCCCTGATGCTTAGTGATGTTGGGCATGTTTTCATGTATCTGTTGGCCATTTGCATATCTTCCTTTGAGAAATTCCTATTCAGCTCTTCTGCCCATTTTTTAATCAGGTTATTTGTTTTTTCACTGTTAGGTTGTTTGAGTTCCTTGTATATTCTGGATATTAATCCCTTGTTGGATGCATAATTTTCAATTATTTTCTCCCATTCTGTAAGTTGTCTTTTCACTCTGCTGTTTCTTTGGCTGTGCAGAGGCTTTTTAGTTTTATATAATCCCATTTGCTTATTTTTTCTTTTTGTTGCCTGTGCTTTTGGGGTCTTATGATGACTGGTGGCTAATGGCTCCAGGATAGCCTCAGGATGGGAGGCTGTTAGCCAGGCAAACAAACCATGTAAGTAGACAGAACTTTCAGCCCCACCCTTCTCACCTCCTCTACCTCTGGGGCAGGGAAAGGGGCTGAAGGTTGAGCTGACTGCCAATGGCCCATGAAGCCTCCATAAAAACCCAAAAGGAGAGGATTTAGTTTCGAGATTGCTGAACACGTGGAGGTGCCTGGGAAGGCATGGAAGCTCCACACCCCTTCTCACATACCTTGCCCTATGTATCTCTTCTATCTGGCTATTCATTTGTATTCTTTGAAATATCCTTGGTAAAAAATCAGCAATAGTATGTAAGGTGTTTCCCTGAGTTCTGTGAGCTAAAAGTCAGATTAATTAATTATTAATTCAGGATCATGTAAATCTGAATTTATAGCTGGTTGGTGAGAAATATAGGTGGGCATTTTTATGGGACTGAGACCTTAACCTGTGGAATTGGGTAGACAATGTCAGAATTGAACTGAGTTATAGGACACCCAGTCAGTGTCTGCTGGAGAATCACTTCGTTGTGGGGTGAAATCCCCACACATTTTAGTGACCAGAGTTGAAGTATTCTGTTTTGAGAGTTAGAATAATAAAAACACCTTGGTTTTTTCTGTCTTTTGCAGATATATACCCAGAAGTGGGAATGAAAGATCATATGATATTTCTATTTTTAATTTTTTGAGAACACTCCATAGTGGCTATACCATTTTACATTCCCACCAATACTGTATAAGAGTTCCCTTTTCTCCACATCCTCACCAATACTTTTTATTTTTGATTTTTTTAATAATAGCTATCCTACTAGGTGTGAGGTGATATTTAATTGTGGTTTTGATTTGCATTTCACTGATGATTAGTGATGCTGAGCATCTTTTCATATAGCTGTTGGCTATTTGTATGTCTTCTTTGAAAAATTGTCTATCCAGGTCCTTTGTCCTTTTTTTAATTGGGTTATTATATTTTATACCATTGAGTTGTATGAGTTCCTTATATATTTTAGACATTAATTCCATATCAGATATATGGATTACAAATATTTCTGGATATCCACGTTAAAAAAAAATAGTGTATCCCCTTTTGTTTCAATGAAAACCTCTCAGTGTTTTGGTCTCTTTCATGTTAGAGATTATTCCTGCAATGTCTAGTGATCCTCAGCTGTCTGTTCATTTTCAAGAGTAAGACAATAAAAAGCCAACTGGAAGCTCTGTGTACATGAGGGAAGTTTACTGATGGCGAGCTCCCATCTGGTGATCAGACAGGGAGTGGCCATTTCCTCAGGTGACCCCAAAAGATCAGTATATAGATAAGTCATTTCTCCTGGCTCATTCAGTTTACCAAAGAAGAAATATACCAATCCTGCCTTAGATACATAAGACAGGCTGAAAGCATTCTGGGGGCCAAGCAGGAGAAATCTACTAGAGGATCCCAACATTCAATATGCAAGCATTCACTGTTTTCTGTATGGGGTCTCACTCCTACCCATAGCTGTACCTGGAGCCCCTGCCTCTGGTTCAATTTTTGTCTAGCTGTAATGTCCAATAAGGTAGCCACTAGCCAAATGTGGCTATTTAAATTTAAATTAATTAAATCTAAATAAAACTAAAAATTCAATTCTTCTGCCACACTATACACTTTCAAGTAATCAACAGCCACTGTGGCTACAGTATCACACAGTGCAGAAATAGAACATTTCCATCACCACAGAAAGTACTAATGGACAGTGCTTCTCTAAAGAGTAAACTCTAAGCTTCTGCTGAGGCAAGGAGTGAGTCATTTGGCCACTGAGCTGAAGGAGAGAATCTAAAGATCTACCTACCCCTTAGAGTAAACTCAAGGTTTCAGCTGAGGCAAGTGAGGGGTAGTCATGTGGCTGTGGGGCTAAGGACAAGATCTGAGGGTGTGGTGTCCAATATGGTAGCCACCAGTTACATGCAGCTATTTAAATTTAAATCTACATAAATCAGAAATTTTAAAATTTGGTTCTTTAATGACACTAGCCATATTCCAAGCATTCAACAGTCACATGTTACAAGTGGCTACAGTATTTGACAGCGTAGATTACAGAACATTTCCATCATTCAGAAAGTTCTACTGGACAACACTGCCTTAGACATTTCTATGAAAAGTCATATTTTCAGTCCTTCTCATGTTTTCTCCAATACCTGAGCCATTCCCAGATCTCACACTGTAAATCGACTTGCTTTTATTTATTTATTTATTTTTTTGCCTTCTCCCACAACAAACACAAGGCTCACCTTTCCTCATTCTGCTAAGGCAGCTACTACCAGGACCATGGCCAGATTTTATCTGAATTAGAAAAGGTACTCCTTTTGGATTAAGTGTACCTTTGTTAGAAGAAAAAGGCAACTTTACTTCTAGATGTATGCAAACCCTGTGCCAGGGTACATAAGTTGGAGGTAGAGTGTGACCTTCGATTTTACTGCCATGTGCAGTGTTAGTAGAGGCACAAGTTACCACTATTCCATGTATTTTCCATTTTCAAACATTTTTCCAAAATTCTGCTGACATCTTTTTGCCACTGTCCTGTTCTCTTTCATCTCTTTGTCCTTATGGGTTTATATTTTAGCATATTCTTTAATTATCATTTTAGTGGCTTCCGTGTGGATTTAATCCTCATTAAATTAAAAGTCAGAATTAATATTTTCCACTTGTATCTTGTTCTTTCTGTTATAATTCCATCTCTCAGTGCCAAGAATGCATTCCAATCAATCCCACAACAAATCCCAAGTAGATACATACCTGAGTAGCAAACGGGTAGAGAGACTTCAGAGTCTGTCTTTTAAAAATAACACTGACAACCAGAATCATCAGTTCACAAGCAGAAAGTTAACATCTGGATTTTCTAAATGCTATTCTAGAGCCTAAATCAAAATTTCCACCAAAATGAGAAAGTCACTTCTCAGAAAAATTCCTTTACATATCAGCATCTAAACAACACATTGAATCCTAATTTTGGTACTTTTTGATTTACCAGTAACAAACAGATAAAATTCATAAGCTGAGGAGCTAAGTAAAACATTGAGTATCTGCCTTAAGTTTTGGAAGGAATGAACACAATGCCAAGAACTGAGGCCCTGGAGAAGGTGACCTAAGCAGAGACCCAAAAGTGATAGTCCAGCAACATGGAATATTTAGCTTCTGTGGGACATGAATAATTTGACAGTTGTTATATATTATTTCCAAATTAGACTGTGATTCCTCTATAAGATAAGTTTCCGGGACAGGGATTTTATCTGATTGTTACACTGACATTTTCCTTTGAACGTTATCAAGCACATAGGAAGCACATAACAAATACTCACTGAATGAAAAAAGATAAAATTATGAACAAAAATGAGAAGAAACGAGTATCATATTTTTATTACAAACCTGTGCTGGCGGTACTTGCAATGGATTGTTATCCAAAATTATTACTTGTAAATGATGCAGCTTCCTGTAACAAACTGGAATTTCAGCCACTTTATTACAAGAAAAATCCAGCTTGACTAAGGGAAGATCTCCTAATTCTGTTTAGAAACAACAACAACAAAAAATTAAATTAAATTTTATATAGTTACTCTCTTATTTGAGTAAAAATAGTGAATATCTTACCATCTGGCAAAACATGAAGATTATTTCTTCTTATGTTTAGCTCTCTAAGTGAATGTAACTTTCCCATTTGTTGAGGAAGGACCTGAATCTCATTACAGCTAATATCCTAAGGAAAACAAGAAAATAAAATTATAATAAACTAACTGAGAAAAACAGATATATTCCAATTTTTAAATTAAAGCATACGGTAAATAGCTAGCAAAAGTTACCTCTAATGTCATTTCTCTAAAGATGAATTATCTGACAGATTTCTATTTTTATTACATCATGAAGTCAACCTAGCACAGTTGACAGAAATTTTTCTGTGTAAAAATTTGAGATTATTACTTAGTTACTGCATAAGACAACGTCTTAAGAATCTCAACTAAAGATTAAGTATCACCACCTAAAACCAGAAGTAAGGATGAGCCAGGTGCTCTTCATGCAGAGGTAAAATAAAAGACTAACAACTATCAATCACAGTGATAATCTGTCAACCACAGTAGTTGTTTTGAGATACTTGTTTGGACAGAAGCTAAGAAAGGCAAGGATTTACAGATATGAGAACCAAAGATTATGGTCAGGATACATTTAATTAAAGCTCTTGCTCCAAATGGATAGAAATATGAGGAGTTATAAGCTCAATTATTTGTGGCTCACGTCACAACTCAAAGGCATTCTAAGAAATCTGAATTGGAAATCTCTCAGGGTTAAGTTAAAAATGCAAGTCCACATTTAAAGGTAAACAAATACCAAGTTTCCATAATAAGGGAATAAAAAAGTTTACATTAACTATGTTTTCCTCTCCCTTGCCTCTTTCTTATAGCTACATCAATAAAAAGAGAAGAGAAATCTGTAACATGATCTCAGACAGTAGTCACTACAGACACACTGCAAATGACATTCATACTCTACTGTAATTGCCCCTAATTTCCAGCTTTCACTGAAAATGATATTAGCCTGGAGGGAGGGGAGAGATGCATACATTCATTTTTATCAAAAGTAAAAAAAAGGAAAGTGGGTAAATTCAAAAAAATATTAAAGCCATGCAGGGAAGAATACAATAAATCTATAGATAATTAGGAAAATGTATTCTAGATACTGCTTTCAAGCATTATTAAAGGCATCTGCATTCAACAACAAATATTTATTGAATACTATTTGCTAGGTGCCAGGGGCAAGGGACACATTAAGAAACAAAACAAACAAAAATTGAAGGGAGGAGGTTGTATAACATGCTAGAAGGTGATAAGTGCTATTAAAAAAAAAAAAAACAGCAGGGTAAAGGACAATGGCTGTGCTAGTAATAATGGGGGGTAGGGAATACTAGCAATTTAGGTCATTTCATGGAGAAGATGATACTTGAGCAGCATTGTCAGAGATGAGAGAGTGAACCATGCCAATATATAAGAAAGGAATATTCCAGACAGAACGAACAGTAATGGAAAGGCCCTTAGGCAGAGCACACCTCACATGTACAAAGAACAGCAAGGTATCTGGTGCAACTAGAGGGAAGTAGGCAAAAGGGAAAGTAGGATGGAGGGAGGGATACTTTCACTTTTACTCTGAGAGATGTGGGCAGGAACCAAAAACTTTTGAATAGAGAAATGACACGATCTGACATATTTTGACAGTGTCACCTTAGCTGCTGTGTTCAGAACAGATTATTATTCAAATGATAGATAATAAAAGGTTGGGGAAATGCCCTTTAAAGTAAATACTATTGCTTCTTTCCAAAGGTACCTGATACTGAAGATTTCTATAAAGCAAATTCATAGAAATTTGGTAGATAGCTGCCATTTCCCAGAAGAAATAAACCCAGGCATAGGAAACTGACCCACTCCGATGGGTACTCTATAAAATACTCTGCTGGGGATTGGAGGTCAGAGAGTATTTACTAGGTTTCTAATGACAGAATTTCAATATAGTTGGTTACCACATTCTCATGGAAGACTATCGTGGGAAAATATTCCAATGACAGGGAATACCCACAAATTCATTATGTGATTTACAATTGTCAGTTAGCCATCAATGCTATCTACCCATCTACTGTTACTGTTTTCAAGAGTCTAAAGCATAATAATTTTATATTGTCTTATAAAATAATAGCACGTAATATTTTTAAATATCCTGTTTAAATAAAAATACTAGAATAAATCTAAAAATCCTAAATATTTTTGACATTTATCTAAAAACTATCTCATGTAAAGTGACTTAAAACAGCATCAAAAACTGAATTAAAAAAAGAAGAATCTTTAAAAACATTAACAGTGTCCAATTCAAAGAAAATAATAATTCCCTTTTATTATGAATTTGTTGAGATCACATCTAGAATCTCTGTTCATTTTTGAAAAGTGATAGGGAGATATCACTTTTATCCATTTTGTTCAAAATAGAAAAGATTACTGACAAAAAGAGTTTTTCAGAAGAAAATTAGGGCTGCCTCAGACACACACACAAGCAGAGTCATACACCATTGAAAATACACAAATAGCTGTGTCAGGGATTCACGCATTAGGAAGTGGTTATACCCAACACTGCTAAGATCTCTTATAACCTGAAAATTCTATGGTTCAAAAACAAGGTGCAATTCAAGGAAGTTTCCTTGGGTTATAACTGACCATGCAGGTATTCCTTAATGAATAAAAGGTGTTCCTGAAATTTCTGTACACTACATTCTATTTTAACATTAATTTCCCAATATAAAATGGTAGGTAAATTCCTCAAGAAAACTTGTGGTCCTCCAAAAATAATAAAGTCATACTTAAGAATACTTTAAAAATACCTATTTATTGGGAAAGCATTACTCAAGATAAAACAGAAAATAAAAATAAGCAGCATGGTATATTGTATGACGTGGAGGTAATCAAAAGAGATGAAAATAGCTCAATACTTTGAGGACTGAATTATATTTCTCTGAAAGTTCAATGTCCTTTATTGCCTAAAATGTTAAGTTAGAGGCAACTACTTTAAATTATTCTCTATTTCTATCATCAATTGCATGATAACGGACTCTTTCCGTTAACCTTGGTCCCAAAGTTTTATAAAGTCCCATGATCATATGGCAGAAGAAGTTATTTTGTTAAGTCCATTGTTTTGCTGGCATTGTACTCTCTTCTTTTATCCCCTTTCTCTTAAGGCTCTATGGTAGCCCTATAAAACCTTTAAAAAAGAAAAAAAAACCCTTATCTTTTCCCTAACAACTTTACTGCCCACAAAATGGATAAACAAATGCTTATTCATTTGAAAAGTATTTCTTAAAGCTTGTAAGCAAGCCTTCTGACCTCACTAGGACTAAGGAACAACCAGGTTATTTTTTTGGCTGGGAGATAAAATCAGACATAAATAATGGTATCTCAAAATTTTACTAAAGCAAATTTAGACATATATCAAGTTATTCCTCTATTAAAAATTACAGTGAAATTCCATACAGTGAGTAATCTTCCAAAATACAGAAGTATATATTATGCATATTATATATAATTAATACAACTATTTTACTCACCAATTCCATTAAATCTTTTAACTTCCCAATTTCTTCTGGAATGGATACCAGTTTATTATTACTGACGACCAAAACTTTAAGGGGGAGATCAAATAGGTATTTTGGCAATGTTGATAAAAGATTTCGACTGAAAAGAATAAGAAGGTCTCATTATGAGAAATATGTCTGAAACCTGACACGTTATGTTGAAAAAGAATGAGCCACTTTGAAAGTAAATAAGTTTCACTAAGTAATAACTTAACAATCATTTAGTGAGTGCTTACTTTTTGTATTAGGCACAGTGCTAAATTCCTTACATGCTTTGTCTTATTTAATTTTCATATTAACTCCACAAGATAGGTAGTGCTATCTCCATTATACAAATAAGAAAATGAAAGTTAAAACTGGTTAAGTGATTTGCCCAGGTAGAGCAGAGATTCAAAAGCAAGTCTGACTGCAAAGCCTGTGCTGTTAACTATGGTACGGTCCTGCACATCTCCAGTTCTTAAAAATTCAGAATGATTCTTCTAAGCTAGAGAATGCCAGAATCTTGCTCTGTGGTATAATTGTGGCATATTCAATACCTCCATGCCTCCAACTAAGGAAAGGCTCCAAGAATAAATATGCATGCACTATGTTCAAATTTATGAAAGAATAAATAGGATTACATCTTCATAAATACGTGGTAACCCTAACCTATTCCCTTTGGTTATGGTTTACAATAGAACAGCCTATGCACCTATATCTCAGCTCAAAGTTAATACAACATTCCTATCTCTGTGGATACATTTAAATATAACAATTAACATTTATTGAGTGATTACTATGTGCCGGGCCATGTTCAGACCACCTCACATGAAGTAACTCTATAAACAACCTACTTCAGAATGATAGATACTATCATGATCACCATTTTACAGATGAAGAAACAGTCCAAAAGAGATTAAGTAGACTGCTCAAAGTCACAAAGCTGGTAAGTGGGAGAGCCAGTATTCAAACTCAGGCAAACAGGCTCTGGGACCCTTGCCTTTAAGCTATTACTGTCAAATTTATACGCCAATGCAGACTGACTGACCCAAATGATCCCACTACCAAAATATATTACGTGTTACAATCCATTTATATACTAACAAGCACTGACAAGCAATAAGCTATTATTTTTTCTATTTTTCAAAGTGGCACTTATATATCTGTGCATAGCATTTTGTGGAACATGCACAGCAACAAAAACCCAGGGTTACTCAAGCAGGGGCTTCAAGACCCTTCACCCCATCTTATCCCTGCAGAGGACATCCAGAAATACTAGACTGACTGGCTTTAACCACGTGCCACAAACAGACTTTAAAAAAAAAAAAAGACAATGCCCCTCAACTAGCAATACTGGCCAGGCTGCCAGAATGTCAAATAAGCTAGTGGCCTGTCACAATCCTTCATACTTTCAGGGCCAAGCAGGCTCCCTGGGGAAATGGTCTGTCTGGGCCCCTTCACACTGGAGTACACAAGGATCTTTCTTCAGGATTCTACTAAAAAAGAGGGAAAGTATACAGTAAGAGAGAAAAAGTTGAAAAATCAAGTTACAAGTTTATCAAGATATTTTTAACAAAATAAAAATAATAAATGGGAAAAATAATGGCAAATTCATTATAATACTCTGTAAGGCCAAAGAAAAGATTAAAAATCAGTTTATTTTCTTCCCCTAAGAAGTAATGTTCATTGAGTTAGCACAGTCATCTTTCTCCAGAATTTGATTTCTTTGTACATAGCTTGTAAGTCACTAATCATTACTTTTTACTACATATTTTAGAGAGAGCCAAAGGAAGTCAGCCACTAGAACAAATGTTATTTCAATATAGTTCATTCAAAAATTTTTGTGACTTTAAACAAAAATCAGGAATTGAATTTTAAAAATCAAAACAGGAGAGAATCAGAGAAAGCTTTAGTAAAACTATTCTAAGATGTACCACACAGGTTAATAGAGAAATGTAATTCAATTTTTGGCAAATCACTTTTTTCCATAAAAAAACAAAATGAAGCAAAAACAAAGACAAAACTTAAAAATACCTCACTTTTTTTCAAACCTCTCCCCAGCAAGGCCAAGGAGCTCTTAGAGAAAAGAGCAACCCAAATGACTAATATCTGTGGAAGGAAACTTATCTCACACATTTTAAGGTGTAAAGTGGTTTCAGTTAAAAAAAATATGTATGGCCAGGTAACACCACCTGAGAAGACATATAAAAAAACTGTATCCCGGGCCGGCCCAGTGGTGCACTGGAGAGTGCGCCGCTTGGGAGCGCGGCGGCGCTCCCGCCGAGGGTTCAGATCCCATGTGGAGACCGGTTCCCGCTCACTGGCTGAGCACGGTGCGGGCGCGGCACCGAGGGTTGCGATCCCGTTGCCGGTCCCCTCCCCGGTACAGGCGCGACACCGAGGGTTGCGATCCCGTTACCGGTCAGTAAAAAAGAGAAAAAGGAAAAAAAAAAAAAACTGTATCCAAAGAAAAAAGAATTAATATATCATGGTGAGAAGGGAGTGTCATTCTTTATGTATACTGGTTGTATTTACTACTTCCTTGTATGAAAATTTAGACAAGTAACATGGTTAATGAGGGGAAAGAAATTATTCCTTTCAACTTAAAAAAAAAAAAAAAGGAAAGAAAAGAATTCTAAATTTAAGTGACAATATACCAGTTTCCATTCAATGTTACTCATTTGGCAAGCTTTTTCTTATACTTATTGAGTGTTCACTCTTTTATAAATATAGGGTAAGAGCTAAGAATGAGAACTCTACAGCCAGACTGCTTTGATTTGAATCTTGGCTCCACCACTTGCTGTATATATGAGGGTATTTCAAAAAGTTCATGGAAAAATAGAATTAAAAGATAATACAAATCTTTCCAGGAACTTTTTGAAGTACCTGTGTATATAGGAATTTGGGCAAATAGCTTAACCCAGTTTCCTCCTCTGTAATGCAGGGATAATAATGTACTCTTCAGTTTCCTCATCTGTAATATGGGGATAATAATAGTACCTATCTACAAATGCTGTTATGAAGATTACATGAGCTAATATGAGTAAAGTATTTGGAACATTGCCTGGCACATGGTGACCACTTTTTAAATATAAATATCAGCTGTCATCCACTTCCCAACTTTTCCATCACTCCCATACCAATCTATCCATTTCTAAAGTATCAACAAAGAGAGCAGAAACAACTCAAGAACTGTTTATAATGTTTCACTGTAACTAAGGATGCATGTAACTAAATCTGTATGGTGGTGCTATGATTTCAGGAAAATATTTATGGTCTAAAGCCTTGCTACTGAAAGTGAGGTCTAAGGGACAGCAGGCATGCATGTGCATTACCAGGGACCTGTTAGAAATGTAGGCCACACAGCAGACCTAAGGAATCAGAATCTGCATTTTAACAAGATCCCCAGGTGACTGTTATGCATTGAACTTTGAGAAGCACTGCTCTCAAGAACAAGACGAAAAACCTACAAGATAATGGGAACATATAAAAAATGCAAAATAAGATACTATTGAGGTAAATATAGGCAACATAGCCAAACCAAAAACATCCCTTTGCTACTAAAAAGGATTAGAACCAACCATAACAAAAACCAAAACATATTTTTAAAAAGTGTTTCCTTACCTAATGTTAAGGTATGTTAACATCTGCAAGCTTTTAATGGCTTCAGGAATGGTTTTGATGCAATTATGATATAAATTTAATGTCTCAAGAGGTGCAAATAACCAGACATCAGAAGGAATTTCTGTAAAGCGATTTCTGGAAAGATCTGAAAAATAAAAATAGTGTTTGAGTGCCAAACATATATCTACACCTATGGCAATTAATAGAACTATTTTCATACTTGCTGAATCACTCAGAATCTAAGCAATTATTTAAAAGGTTATAAAATATTATCCAGCGATAGCTTGAAGGCAAAAATCATCACTTAGATATATACTCATAGAAAACATGTTTATTAAAAAATGTACCTGATATGCTTCAATATCTCTAAAATCCAAATATGCTATTTATCTTTTTAAAATACCAATGAGCAATTCTCTCTCATCTTTAAAAACAGACAAACATACCTCTCAAGATTCCACACCCACTTCCGTATACTTCTTCCTCTTTCACAGCCAAACTTACATAAATACACAACACAACCAAATTTCTTACTTACCACGGACTTCTCAAAGCACTGCAATTTGGTTTCTATTCAATCTCGCATCCACCAAGGTTACCAACAATCTCCATATCAATAACCACTCCATCCATCTGGAAACATTCTCTTTCCTTGGCTTGGAAGACCACACTTCTAGATCTCTTCCTATTATCTCTCCATTACTTCTTAGTTTCTTTTGCTAGATTTTCCTTTACATGTATTATAAATGTTGGTATTCTCAAGGACTATGCCATAAGGTATTCTTTTGTTCTGAAGATATACACTCTACTGGGTGATTTCATCAAATCCTAGGACAAATTATATTTATATACTGACGAATTGCAAATTAAAGATATGTTTAAACACCTATGTTCTGATCATCAGGACTTCCCCTCGATATATCTCAGGAACCTCAAATTTTACTACTGTAAAATCTAAACTGTAGATCTTTTTCCACACCTCTATTTCTCTCATCTCAGACATGTCACCAACATCCTCTTGGTGAGTTGCTCAAGCCAGAAATCTGGCATTCATCCTTGATTCCCTCCTCTCCTAAATTATTCCAAGTACACACAAATATACTTCCATTCATTTATGTTTTCACAAAAATAAAATCATGGAATTATTATAACCATTACTCCTCTATTAAAGGTTTATTTGTTAAATAAAATTTTGAAAAATACTTAATATATCACATGGTGGGTTGAAAAAAAAATATCCTAAAAGAGAGTTTCTAAGCCTCAGCACTATGAACCTTTTGGGTAGATAACTTCTGGGGCTATCCTGGGCACTGTAAGATATTTAGCAGCATCCCTGGCATCCACCCACTAGACGCCAGTGACACCCACTAACCATGATGGGCAAAAAATGTCCCTTAAGGTGCAAACCTCTCCACACCCCAGTTGAGAACCACTGCCTGAATAATTATCAAATAGTTACCTTATCACAGAAATATACTTTGCTTACAGCAGCTCATTATACTTATTTGGTTAAAAACATAAGAGTATATGTACCTTTGTCAGAGAGAACATCTATAGTCCAGCTTAGTCCACTGTACCTCATTTAGCATCTGGTCTTCCCTCATAAGAACAACCTCCTTTCAATAATACTCAGTTTCCTCATTCTAAGAGATGAGACCTACTAACTATATTGCTCACTATGAGCAATATAGTGAATTTCTTATTTAGAAGATTAATATATACATGTATTTATATGTAATGTGAGAATACTTCAAAAAGTTTGTGGAAAAATGGAATTAAAAGATAATATGAATCTTTGCATGAACTTTTTGAAGACCCCTCATATATATGTATTGATACATATGAAGAGAGAGAGAGAGAGAGAGAGAGATACTATTTCTCATTCTTACTAATGTAAAATGGTATAATTGGCAAAAGAAAACATTAGCTATGATTATATAATATTAAAACTAATTTGGATTCTTCTTCCTCCCACCACAGGATTCTGAATAACTTAATAAAATGATAGAATTATCAGAAACCAAAATCTGGACTTGAAATGTAATTTTCTCAATATTCTGGCTTACTTCCTCTGGACACCCAAGCATCCTACCTACAGTTCTACGGAGGAGGAAAATGAAGTCACTGTTTTTAGTATAGGATATGTTTCTTTTACATTTAGGGTTTTACCTTTTATTCTTGTAACTTTAGAATCCTGGGAGTTGAAAATTTCTGCTTATAATTAATGTGAAACCCTAAAAACAAAACTATGCTCAGTTTGTTATTCTGTATAATATCTAGTATTAAGTATTCATAAATAATACAGTTGTCCCAGAGATACATAATGGTAGCCTGAATTAAGACTGCAAGAATAGAAATAAGAGAAAGTGAATAGAATGTAAAATATATTTTGGAATTAGCACTTACAGGGAATAGCAAGGGACTTGCTATGTGGGACAAATAAGAGGTAAGAATCAAAGATGGCACCTAGGATTCCAACCTAGCCACCGAATGATGCTATCTAATAAAGGAGTGAGAGTGGAACAGGATTGGTGGTGGTGGTGGTGCTGGTAGGGTTTTTGTTTTGTTTTGTCAAAGATGCAATCAAGGGTTCAACTTAATATTTGTATAAACTGAGACATCTTAAGAGACCCAAGTGGAGTTGTTAAATGGACATCAGAGGATTCTGGATCTCAGAAGTGATGTCTGAGATGAAAACATAAACTTGGAAGTTGTGGAAATATGGTTAATACCATAAAAATCACAGAAATGGAGACTACCTAACATCAGAGTACTGCATTAAAAAGAGAGATCATGAATGGTCCATCAGGAAGGCCAACACTTAAAAGCTGAGTAGAGAAAAAAACAGCAAGCAGAGAAAACTAAAAATAAATGGTCATGAGAGAACACAGTAACCAGATAAAGAGATCAAAGAAGTTCAAAAAGTGACCAGAAAAACAAAACAAAACAAAACAAAGTAACAGTAGTAATAATAAGAGTGATTTCAATAATTTAAATAATATCAACACATTGTTTTAATAATTTACATATTTTTGTGTGATGCTTTATGTTCTTTCCCCTCCAAAAAAATTCTTTAGTTAAATTACAAAGTATTATTACAGGCTCCCTTAGGGAATTTAATTAAATGTGCATTCATAAACTATTTTCTGGCTGAGTTCATATATTTATTTAGTAAACGACACTTGAAATTACAATAATTATTACTCTAACTTAATGGCATTAAATCAAATAAAGCTTAATAAAGTCAAAGTTAAAACTCAAGCTATTATAAAGCCTCTAATTAAGAAAATCTAATTCTTGGGTGTTTCAGATTTTAAATCAGTATAAACATCCTTTCTAAGCATTGGGTAAACAGAATAACAGTGTCAAAAGAATAATACAACCATGGAAGAAAAGATGGAAATTAACACAAAGTAATTTGTATATTAATTTCTTGAACTATCTCAAACAAACAGCAGCCCATATTTTCCCTCAAAACAGTGAAGATAAACTTTCATATAGATATAATGAATTAACTTCAAACTTTCATTTAAATTTTTATCTTGTGATGTTCAATTAATAAAGAAGCTTTTATAACATTAAAAATCATTTAATTAACATATACACTAGGGCAACTAGAATAATGTGACTAATAATGAACATATTATACTCGAGAAATACATGTAAATTGGTATTTTAATAGAGTTCCAGCCAAAAAAAAAAAAAGTTTCCATCTAAACATGGCAAAACAGACTGCTAATTTATTCCTTATTTGGAGATTCATTTCAAAACAGTTTCAAAGCCTACCTTCTTAGGGGACAAGTATGACTTGGAAACGGAAGATTATAAAGATGGTTCAACTTTTCCACACACACAAAAAATGGGATTAAAACTTGTTACTGGGCCGACCCGGTGGCGCACTGGAGAGTGCACCGCTTGGGAGCGTGGTGGCGCTCCCGCCGAGGGTTCAGATCCCATGTGGAGACCGGTTCCCGCTCACTGGCTGAGCGCGGTGCGGGCGCAACACCAAGGGTTGCGATCCCATTGCCGGTCCCTGGTACGGGTGTGACACCGAGGGTTGCGATCCCGTTACCGGTCAGTAAAAAAGACAAAAAGGAAAAAAAAAAACTTTTTACTTATCTTTCTGTACTGGGCTGAATGGTGGCACTCAAAAATATCAGGTTCTGGGGAAACCATGCTCTTTCATGTGGAATGGAATTTGCTTTGCTTTGCTCTCCAGGAGAGGCAGAAGCTCCACAGAGACCACACGCCCTGTGGTACCAACGTGCGACCCAGCAGGTAGGCCTCACCACCATCACCCAACTCCATCCCCAGCCCTGCCCAGTGCGTGTGGAGAAGGGAGACATCCAGCAGGGGAGGCAGAAGCTCCACAGACACCACACGCCCTATGGTGCCACTGTGTGACCCAGTAGTCCAGCCAAGTGCACGCTGACCAGAGAGGTGGCTCCCTGAAGAGGCCCAAGTCCAAGGCAACCACACACACAAGGCACTACTGGCCAACTGAGCAGACACTGAGGAACTCATACCAAATTGGCAACACCAGCAACATCCTAGCCAGACAATAGTGTCAAAAAGTGGACAGTGAAATCCCTACCACAATGACAAAACATCAAAAGAAAGATACCAGAAATATGAAAAACCAAGAAAGTACCCAGCAAAGGGTAATAACTTTCAAGCTCTAGATCCTATAGAACAAGAAGCCCTTGAACTGTCTGACAAAGAATTTCGAATAATTAACTCTAAGGAAATTAAAAGAGATACGAAAAAACTCAGCTAGACAACATAAGAAAATGAGAAAAAGTATACAGGACCTGAAAGAAGAAATGTACAAGGAAATCAATGCCCTGAAAAAAAGGCAGGTGAGCTTGCTGACGTGAAGAGTTCATTCGACCAAATAAAAAACACAACGGACAGTTTAACCAGCAGGTTAGAAAAAGTAGAAGAGAGAACTTCTGACCTTGAAGATTGGCTATTTGAAATAACACAGGCAGAAAAACAAAAAAGAAAAAAAGAGTTAAAAGCATTGAAGAAAACCTAAGAGAGATATCAGACAACCGTAAGTGCTCAAATATCCAGGTAATGGAAATTACAGAAGGGGAGGAAAAAGGAGATTGCATCAAAAACATATTCAACAAAATAGTGGCA